AGCGCGAGCTACCACAGCCTCATAAAGAGCAGGACTAGGCGGTTCGTGCGGGATCTGCCCGACGTCGTTGCCCTGTCAGAGCCCGCTACTTCGTTGACGACGGTCCCATGAACGACCGCGCTGTCGCCGAGCGCTCCGGTGTGGGATGGTTCGGCAAGAACACCAACATTCTCACTCCGACCCACGGCTCCTGGGTGTTTCTGGCTGAGGTGGTTACCGATCTGGAGCTCAGACCGGACCCTCCTCTCAAGAAGACATGCGGTGAGTGTGTCCGCTGCATTCCGGCCTGCCCGACCGACGCGATCGTCGCCCCGTTCGTTATAGACAACCGCAGGTGCATATCGTTCCTGACGATCGAGCTTCGCGGCCCCATTCCGCTCGACCTGCGTCCGCTGATGGGCGACTGGGTGTTCGGTTGCGACATCTGCCAGGAGGTGTGCCCGGTCAATCGCAAGGCCGCGCCGAGCCGGGAGATGGAGTTTCGAAAGCGGCACGACTTCGACGCGCCTGAGCTCATCCCGCTGCTGAGCCTCGACGAAGAGGGTTTCAGGCAGCGGTTCAATGGCAGTCCCATCCGGCGCGCCAAGCTCGCGGGACTCCAGAGGAACGTGTGCGTTGCGCTGGGGAACATCGGCGACACTGTGGCAGTACCGGCGCTGGCTCGGGCTCTATACTCGGACGAAGCCCTTGTCCGGTCACATGCCGCCTGGGCACTCGGTCAGATCGGCGGCGAGACGGCGCGTGGGGTGCTGCGAACGGCGCTGCTGGAAGAGGACGACTCCGACGTGGCCGGGGAGATTAGGGATGCTCTTGCGCGGGTCACGAGCTCTTCGTGAGCGTGATCTGCGCGTCCTAGCTTTCTCTCTTCTACCTTTCGAAGAAGTCCAGGTCGATCGCGAACGCGGCGGTGAGCAGCAGAAGCCGGAAGTCCTGAGACCTCTCGGAGTCGTTGAACAGGACCTGGAAAGTGTCGGCGTCGGTGAAGCCCTCTCTCAAGAGACCGGACCACTGCTTGGTTACGCGGCCTATCTCCTCCCCGCGCAGGTCCCGCACGAAGAACGTATAGGGCCTGAACAGGCTGCCGACAACCTCTCCGATGGGCTGCTCGTTTTGATCTGTGAGCGTAAACCTGCGCTTGAGAACCCCAACTGCCGGTTCAGCGCGCCTACGTGACGGCCTGTGTCGTCGCTCATGTGCAGGTGCGAGAAGAACCAGAAAAACTGCCTGCTGGCAGTAAGAATCGGGTTGCCGTTCGTGTCGACGACGTGGAGGTCGAGCGGTCGGTGTGTTTTCAGAAAGAACCTGGAGAGTCCGCCGGACTCCTCGTAGGCGTACATTACCTGCTGCCCGTCTGGAGTAAGAACCTCATAGCGGTTTCTGGTCTCGAACCCTGTGATGGCTTCAAGCGCCTCAACCTGCTGGCGTACGATCAGCTCCTGGTGTCGCGTGATGTCTATCAATTCCGATCATACTCCTGAAATGCTGAGAGTTGTCTAGAGACGGGGACCAAAACGCAGGCTCTGATTATCTGGGGCACACTCGTATCTTTGCGGCGACATCGTAGCTGAACACTATATCGCCGGCGCCGGAGTCAAGTGTTATGACTCCTCGAGTCTTTGCAGCCTCCCTCACGTCCACCTCTCGGCCAGGTACGAGGTTCTGCTCCACAAAATACTTCAGAAGCGCGGGGTCATCCTCGGGTACCGAGTCTATGACGAGCTCCTCTCCCTGCTGCGCTTTGTCCAGCGTCTTGGTCTGTCTGGTGGGAGTGTAGGCGCTTCCGGGGATGGGGTGTCCGAACGGGCACGTAGTGGGGTCGTTGAGCGCCTTCACGATCTTCTCTTCAAGGTATTCGGAGATCGCGTGCTCAAGGCGATGGGCTTCGATATGGGCCAGGTGCAGGTCTACTTCCAGCAGGTCCACCACCAGGCACTCGGCGAGCCGGTGTCTTCTGACGATGCTCTCGGCCGGCTTCCGGCCTTTGGATGTCAGCACCACTTCTTTATTGGCAGTCGTCTCGACCAGGCCCTCCCGGGAGAGTCGGCGGATCATGCCTCCTACGGATGGCAGCGACGTCCCCAGCCCCTCGTCCATTGGAAGTGTCTTGAGGTGGTCGGCGAGCACCGTGAGGGTAACGCGCACGTTCTGCTCTTCCAATCGGAATATGGACAGCAGGTAGTTCTCCGCGCCCATCGACAGGCGCGTGGCGGTGTTTTTTGACTTACGGTTGCGAGAAGTAGAGCGAGAAGTCATCGCAGTCCCACGACAATCGGTGGAGTGAAGTACCTCTCCGATTATAACAGAACGGTATGCGAAGGCTTACGCTCGCCGTAGCGCTGATATGTCCATGTCATGGCGTGACTTATGTTGACACGGCTTCCCGCAGAGACGGCTCACGAAGATAGGCAGCCAACTTACCGTTGTGCTTGCGAACCCGCAGAAATTGGCTGACGGGCTTTGAGGCAAGGGCAGTTGCGAGATCGTCGTCCACATCGTCGAGTTCAATTCCCTGTCCCGAATTGATGTGATGCAGGAAGTTGAATATCGTAAGACCGACCGGGACGCATCCGGCCGGCTCCAATCTCAACAGAATCTGGTCCGAAATCTGGTACCCTGTCCCGCCTCTCGGCTGGCCGAAGGATATGTAGAGAGTGTCCCCCTCCGAGTCATAGGTTATTCGAACAGAGTTCATTGGGAAGACGCAGGTTCGCTCGATTGTAACCTACCGCTTTGTCCACTGCTTGGCCTTGCGCGCTCGTGCGAGACCGTACTTCTTGCGTTCCTTTTCGCGGGCGTCTCGTGTGAGAAGGCCGGCCCTCTTGAGCGGTCTCCGCAGAGCGGGGTCGGCTACCTGGAGCGCTCGGGCGATGCCGTGACGCAGCGCTCCGGCCTGGCTAACAACTCCTCCGCCGCGTATCTTGGCGACGATCCGGAACTGGCCGTGCGCGTTCGTCACGTCGAAAGGGCTGCCGGATGAGCTGCTGCCACGAGTCCCACGGGAAGACCTCTTCCAGCGGTCTGCCGTTCACCTGGTTAATGCCAGTGTCGGTGTACAGCCGGACCTGGGCTACCGAAGTCTTCCGCTTACCCATGGCATAGTAGTAGTGTTGCTGGTCTTGGACCATTAATGCCTCCGTTTAGCCTGACACCTGCGCAGCGTGCGGATGATTCGGGCCGACGTACACTTTCATTCGTTTCAGCATCTTTCTTCCGAGCGAGTTCTTCGGCAGCATACCCTTCACGGCCTGACGGATCACGCGGTCGGGATGCTTCTCCAGCATATCGGCGAGTGTCCGTTCGGTCAGCCCGCCATGGTACCCACTGTGCCGGTAGTATATTTTCTGTGCCACTTTGTTGCCGGTCACGTGGATCTTCTCCGCGTTGGTGACGATCACGTAGTCTCCGGTGAGCAGGTGTGGGACGTACAACGGGTTGTGTTTGCCGTTGAGAATGGTCGCGATTCTGGTTGCCAGACGCCCCAGCGTCTGACCCTCGGCATCGACGACGTGCCACTTGGGCTTCAGATCAGAAGCCTTGGTTTCGTATGGTTTTGAAGTTGCTACCATTTCATTCCGTTCCTGTTCTGTTCTGGCCCGGTTATGCCAGTTTCGGCCAGACCGTCAGACCGGGCCGTCTATGTAATTCACTCGGATTAGACACAACCCGTTCGGAGGAAGTGCCCGCGCCGGCGGAGCATCGCCGGCCAATGAAATCTGCTTCGATACGTCGCTTACTGTCAGTCTGCCCGTTCCTACGTCCAGCAGCGCGCCTGCCATTCTGCGCACCTGGTGGGGGAGAAACGCGTTTCCCTCCACATCGATTTTGACCAGGCTGTCGTCGGTCTCCAAGTCGATCCTGTCGATCCGCCTGATCGTGCTGGCCTCCAGGTTCTCAAGTGCTCCGCCGAAGTTGGCGAAGTCGTTGATTCCCTCCATGTGTGCTGCCGCGGCTCGCATGGATTCCAGGTCCGGCTGACGCTGAATCCTGTGGGCCGTGCGCCTCATCAGCGGTGACCTCACCCCGGACACCAGGACCGTATACCTGTACAGCCTACTGACAGCGTCGCGACGGGGATCGAACTCCGGACTCACTCTTCGGGCCGATCTCACGGCTATGTCCTGTGGGAGCCTTGCGTTCAGCGCCCTCAGAACGGTCGCGGGATCGTAAGGAGCCTCCGTATCGAATGCTACGACCTGACCCAGCGCGTGGACACCGGCGTCGGTGCGACCCGCCGCCTTGATCCTGACCGCTTCCGCAGTGAGCGACTCTATTGCTTTTTCAATCTCCTCCTGGATGGTGCGGGCGTTCTTCTGGTACTGAAATCCACTGTATTCGGTTCCATCGTACTCGACAATCATCGCCATGCGCATTGTCTGAGTTTCCCGTTCCAACTCCCATTCGTCATTCCCGCGAACGCGGGAATCCAGATATGGGGTGAATCGTCACTTCAATGATGCTGTGCGTCTAGCTCACCAGCTCCACCATCGCCATGTCGGCGGCATCTCCCTTACGCTTGCCCAGCTTGTACGAGCGCGTGTATCCACCTTCGCGGTCGCCGTATCTATCCGCAAGCTCGTCGAACACTTTGCGCACCGCCTCTTTGTCGGTTAGCAGCGCCGCGGCCTGTCTGCGGTGATGCAGAGATCCCTTCTTGCCGAGGGTAATCACCTTCTCGGTCATTCGCCGAGCCTCGAAAGCCTTCGCCTCGGTGGTCTTCAGCGTCTATTGAGTAGCAGGTTGGTCACCATGCCCCTTAGCATCAACAATCGGTGCTGTGTGGGGCGGTTAAGCTTCTTACCTGATAGTCGGTGTCTCATTTTAGGCTGGCTCCTGTGCCACCTGCTCCTCGGCGGTGTCCTCTTCGACCTGCTCCTCGGCATTCGTCAGGTTCGGGTCGAGCTCCGGTGGGAGGAGGTCGTTCTCTCTGAGTTTGTCATACAGTTCCGTGTAGGACTTTTCGCCGAAGTTCCTGATCTTGAGCAGCTCTTCCCTGCTCATCTGGAGTACCTCGCCGACCCTGTCGATACCTGCGCGCTTCAGGCAGTTCAGTGTGCGCGAGCTGAGGTACAGCCTTTCCACAGGGATGCCGTAGTGCTCCGGCGGAATGCTCAGCGAGATAGACTGACGGCCGTTCACGCCTTCCTCAGCGGTCTGTTCGGTGTTGGCGAACAGGAAGAACTGGTTGACCAGAATGTTGGATGCCTTCCTGACTGCCTCGACCGGTGTTAAGGAACCGTCGGTCCAGACCTCCAGGATAAGCCGTTCGAAGTTCGTACGTTGGCCGACGCGCGTGCGTTCGACCGTGTAGTTGACCTTTCTTGTGGGGCTGAATATCGCATCGACGGGAAGGACCCCGATCGTCTGACTTTCGCCCTCTGGTTTTTCGAGGTAGCCCTTGCCGCGTTCGACGTTAAGCTCAACCGATATCCTGGCGTCCTGGGAGTCGAGTGTCGCCAGGTGAAGCTCCGGGTTGACCACTTCGAAGTCTGCCGACGCCATGATGTCCGCAGCGCTAACCTGTCCCTCGCCGGCGACCTCCAGCCGCAGCGTGCCGGGCCGGTCCACCTCGGACCGCAGCCTGACAGCTTTGACGTTCAGCAGGATTTCGGTGACCTGCTCCCTGACATTGGGAATGGTCTGGTACTCGTGCTGCACCCCCTCGATCTTGACGGAAGTTATCGCCGACCCGTCAAGGCCGTTGTACAGCACCCGTCGCATCGGGTTGCCGAGGGTCACTCCGTATCCGGGCTCCAGGGGCTCTATGATGAACTTGCCGTACTCCGGTTCGTCCACCTCTACCGAGATGGAGGGATCGGGGATCTCTATCTCTTCCTCTTCGGGTATGTCGTATAGCACGAATGTCGGGTCTGTTGTCATGCGCCACTCTCCTTGCTGAGGTCCACTACTTCGAGTAGAACTCGACCACCAGTCTCGCGTCGATGCCAGTCTCGATCTCTGTCACTTCAGGCAGTGAGGCGACTTCACCCGTAAGGTTGGCTACGTCGAGCCGTAGCCAGGGGGGGACCGGACGCTTGGGAATCCCGACCGTGAGGTCCTGTATGAACTGGGGAGACGAGCCGTTTCTGCCTCCGCGCTTCCACGCGATCGCGTCGCCCGGCTCGACCAGGTAGGAGGGAATGTCCATGCGACGCCCGTTTACAGTGAAGTGGCCGTGATTGACAAGCTGCCTTCCCTGCTGCCTGGAGTCCGCCATCGACAGTCTGTAGATCACGTTGTCCAGGCGCGTCTCCAGTACCTGGAGCAGGTTGTCTCCAGTGACTCCCGGACGCACACGCGCCATATCGAAGTATTTCCTGAACTGGCGTTCGAGTACACCGTAAGTCAGGCGCGCCTTCTGCTTCTCTCTGAGCTGCAACGCCCATTCCGACGGTCTCCTTCGTCTTGGGACCGCGTTTCCCGGAGGGCGACGCCTGCGCTCGACTGCGCATCTGGGCGTGTAGCACCGTTCGCCCTTGAGAAAGAGCTTTTCACCTATGCGCCTGCACTTGCGGCAGACGGCATCCTTATATCTGGCCATTGGCTTTCCCTGTCCTCTTTCCTTCCGGATTTTGCTTGCTTCAGGCTGTTGCGGCTCCCATCTCCTCGGAGAGACGCGACACGTTGTATCCCTCTTTGCGTACTCTGAGATCGTAGTACAGCAGCGTCGCCGGTATGTATGTCACCGGCAGGACTAAGATGCTCGCGAGAGTTGCACCTAACATGACGGCCATGCGGCCGAGGAGCGTAAACTCCTCTTCGGCGGCGGTGACCGACGCAATGATCAGGAACGGCAGCAGGACCACTATCGCCAGTCCCAACGCAACCAGCGAGTAAGCTATCAGGTTGAACAGAATCCTGAACTCCGCCTTGCGGGCCAGCGCGAAGCCGCGCCTCAGCGCAGACAGTGAACGATAGCCCTCTATGATTACCGCCGGCGCGGCTGTTGTCATGTAGATTATGAACAGCAGCAACGCTACCAGCAGTACCGTGATCACCGGGATCAGGAGGGGCTGCTCGGACTCGATCAGCAGTGTTGAGAATCCCAGAAACGATGCTCCGAGCACTGCCTGAGCAACGCCGAGCATCAGGATCGATTTTCCCCGCCACAACACCCTGGCATAGCAGCCACCTACGGAGACCTGTCCGGCCACGTAGTGTTGCCCTACCGCGAATATCGCTGCTCCGTACGCGAACGTCAGAGCGATGAAATTGATAATGTTCAAAACGATGCCGAAAGTCCAGTTGTCTAATGGGATGACCGTCAGCAGTGCGACAGGCAACTCAATGATCGCGACCAGCACGATGTATCTCTTGAAGTGACTGCCGTAGATTACGAAAGTCTCGTTGAGTATGTCTCCCAGGCCGCGTTGTCCGAATTCCCGTTGCGACGACTGCTCTTCCACACTTGAAATCCCGTTGCGCTAGACTCTGCGCCGCTTCGGCGGCCTGCATCCATTGTGCGGGATGGGGGTAACGTCCCTGATGGACGTCACCAGAATTCCTGCACCCTGCAACGCACGGATCGCGGCTTCGCGACCGGAACCGGGACCGCGCACGTACGCTTCGACCTGTCTGACCCCGTGCTCCATGCCCTTGCGTGCAGCGTCCTCTCCGGCGCGCTGGGCGGCAAATGCCGTGGACTTCCGGGATCCCCTGAACCCGACGGTGCCCGAGCTGCCCCAGGCGATCGGGTTGCCCTGCGGGTCCGTGATCGTGATTATTGTGTTGTTGAAAGTGGACTGGATGTACGCCCTGCCCACCGGAATCGACTTACGCTCTCTGCGCCGTGATCGTGGTCTTCTTGCCATACCTTGTTCTCAGCCTTACTTCTTGGTGGTGGTCCGTCCCCGTCCGGCGACGGCGACTCGCTTGCCTCGTTTGGTCCTTGCGTTTGTCTTGGTTCGCTGGCCCCGGACAGGCAGACCGCGCCTGTGTCGCAGGCCCCGATAGGAGCCGATGTCCATAAGCCGACGTATGTTCATGTTGACTTCGCGCCTGAGATCGCCTTCGACAACCTTCTCACGGTCGACAATCTCGCGAAGACGAGCGAGCTGCGCATCTGACAGGTCTCTTACCTTTGGGTTGTCGAGGACCCCCGCCCTCTCGCAGATCGTCCTTGGCCTGGTATGGCCCGATACCGTAAATGCTGCGCAGCGAGATTTCCACCCGCTTGTTGTCCGGGATGTTCACACCTGAGATTATGGCCATCGCTATCTACCCCTGCCGCTGCTTATGCCTTGGATTTTCGCAAATGATGAGCACCCTGCCGTGCCGTCGTATCACTTTGCACTTGGCGCATCTAACTTTCACCGACGCGGACACCTTCATAGTCAACCTCAGATCTCTCGATTATCGAACGGCCCCGGCGTACCTGGGCGACACTGCACAGCCGTGCCACCTCGGAGACTTATCGTCGGGGACGCGGGGAACGGCGGGCGGCTCCTACCTGAAGCGGTAGGTAATCCGGCCGCGTGTCAGATCGTAGGGAGAGAGCTCGACCAGCACACGGTCGCCCGGCAGCACGCGAATGAAATTCAGCTTCAGCTTGCCGGATACGTATGCGAGCACCTTGTGCCCATTCGCCAACTCCACCCTGAAGCTGGCATTAGGCAGGGACTCCGTTACGGTTCCCTCTACCTCGATCGCCTCCTTCTGTTTCCTTGCCATCAGACTCCTTTCGAGTCGCCCCCGGTCTCGTTCGTGATTAATTGGGTAGTCACAACCGGGCCATCCTGAGTAATTGCAATCGTATCTTCGAAATGTGCCGACAGGCTTCCGTCTGCGGTCGAAACCGTCCAGCCATCCGCCTCAACCTGTGTTTCAGAGGTCCCTAAATTAAGCATCGGCTCGACCGCGAGTGCCATTCCCGGCCGTATCCGCGCTCCGCGCCCGGACCGTCCGTAGTTGGGGACCTGTGGCTCCTCGTGCATATTGAAACCGATGCCGTGCCCCACGTACTTCTTCACTACCTCGTATCCCAGACCCTCGGCGTAGTTCTGGACCGCGCTCGAAATGTCACCATTCTGCCCCCGACCCTGATCCTTGCGACTCCCTGCTCAAGCGACACGCGTGTCGCCTCGATCAGGCGCTGAACTTCCTCGCTCGTCTCGCCAACTCCTATGCTGAAGGCGCTGTCTCCGTGCAGTCCTCCGTAGATGGCTCCCACGTCGATCTTGAGTATGTCTCCCTCTTTCAGTCGCCGCTTGCCCGGAATCCCGTGAACGATCTGTTCGTTCAGCGACGCACAGATCGTCGCCGGAAACGCGTAGGGCATCGACATACCCGGGTTATATCCCTTGAACGAAGGTGTCGCTCCCAAACTTCTGATTGTCTGCTCGGCAATATTGTCGAGCTCCCGGGTTTCAACCCCGGGCTCAACTGCCTCTTTCATCTTCGCTTTTGCGTGAGCGACTATCTGTCCGGCCTCAAACATGAGACCAAGCTCGCGGGCGGACTTTATCGTTATTCCACTTGGCCTTCGGGCCATCTGCGCAACGTCCTCCCGTTCGTGTCGTACGCCCTGAGGTTCTCTGGTTCCGACTTACTATTGCAGATAATGAAACTGTCGGCAATGTCGACTGGCTCGTGTGCAGGTTTCACCCCAAATGGACTGTTATGACGAAACAATCCTTAAACGAGTAATAGTCAGTTTACAAAAACCCCAGCTACCCAACAAGGCGTGCTCCGATCGCTTCGGACAGGGCCGTGGCGACCTCGTCAACCGGCTGCTCTCCATCGACCTCCGAGAGGCTGCCCGCCTGGCGATAGTAGTCCACGACAGGCTCTGTCTCCTGGTTGTAAACCTCGATTCGTCTGGATACCACCTCGGCCTTGTCGTCATCTCGCTGGTACAGCTCTCCGGCGCAATAGTCGCACTTCCCCGCCGTTGCGGGAGGCGACGAGTTCAGATTGTATGGTCGCTGGCACTCTGTGCAGATGACTCTTCCACCGAGCCGTCGAACGAGCTCGTCGTCCGAGACTCTGATGAATACCATGTGGTCGATTCCGCCCCGATCTGAGAGCGCCTCGTCGAGAGCCTGCGCCTGCGCCTGGGTCCTCGGAAAGCCGTCCAGAACGAATCCGGCGGCGTGATCGGGATCGTTGATCCATTCGGTTATCATGCCGATCGTCACGTCGTCCGGGACGTACACCCCGCGCTCCATGTAAGAGCGGGCGAGCTGCCCCAGATCCGTGTTCCGCCGCTGGTGGTCTCTGAACAGGTCGCCCGAGGACACGGCGTGAATCGCCAGGCTGGTTGCCAGGTTGGCGGCCTGTGTGCCCTTGCCCGATCCGGGCGGTCCCATGAGTATGATGTTCATAGTTGTCGGCCAGCTACCTGATGAACCCTTCGTAGTTGCGCATCAATAGCTGCGCTTCCAATTGTCTCATAGTGTCCAAAGCCACGCCCACCATTATCAGCAGGCTGGTGCTGGAGAGAGTCAGCGCGCGAACGTCCGTGACCCAGGTTACGAAGAATGGAATAATCGCAATTACCCCCAGGAACAACGCGCCGCCCCAGGTGATGCGGATGATTACCCTGTTCAGGTACTCCTGCGTAGGCCTCCCCGGCCTGATTCCCGGAATGAAACCGCCGTTTCTCTGTAAATTCTCGGCAAGGCTTTGCTGTTGGAAAACTACAAGCGTGTAGAAGAACGTGAAAATGACAACCAGGATGAAGACCGCTATCCAGTACGGAAGATTGGAAGGATCGAGAGTGTCCGTGAAGAACTTTGCCAGTTTAGCGAAGAACGAGTCGGACAGTGGGTTCTGGAAGTAGCTGAAGATTGTTGCGGGCAGGATGATGATGCTGAACGCGAAGATCAGCGGTATCATTCCTGCGCTGTTGACACGCAGCGGCAGGGAATGTCGATCCTGACTGTCGCTGCATCTGTCCGCCGCGGTAGATGCTTCTGCCATACTGCACCGGCACGCGTCGCTGAGCTTCGTTGAACAGCACAATCACGTATATGATCCCGAAACCCAGGGCGACCACCGCCAGAAGTCCTGCCGCCTGCCCCTGACCGCCCTCAAGCAGTCCCTGGCCTACAACGGTTGGGAAGTTCGCGACGATGCCGGCGAAGATTATCAGCGAGATGCCGTTGCCAAGGCCGCGCTCGGATATGAGCTCACCGAGCCATACCAGGAACATTGTGCCGGCGACCATCGAAACCAGCATGGCCAGTGTGCCGATGTTGAATCCGAAGTCCACCCCGGGCAGAACTCCCGACTGCCGAAGCAGCGTGAGCTGGCCCCACGATTGCAGAAATGCGATCGGGACCGTGGCGTAGTGCGTAATCTGGTTGATCTTCTGGCGTCCCAGGTCGCCTTCCTGCGAAATCGCCTTCAGGCTCGGGATCGCCGGTACCAGTATCTGCATCACGATCGATGCCGTGATGTACGGGTATCACGCCCAGGGCAGCCACGCTGAGATTCGATAGCGCTCCACCGCTGAAGAGGTCCAGGAATCCAAGAAGCGCCTGCTGTTGGAACGCCTGGGCCAGCGCCTGAGTATCGACACCCGGTACGGGTACCTGGGCGACGAACCGGAACACGACGAGCATCGCTAACGTGAACAGGATCTTCGACCGCAGGTCTGGGACCCGCATCGCGTCGATCATCGACTGTATGAGCTGGGGTCGCGACGACCGCTGCTGCGCCCTTGCTGCCTGTGCCTGACGCATACTGGCTACTCGGTCACTGCGACTGTTCCGCCCGCGGCCTCGATCTTCGATCTTGCCGCTGCGGAAAACTTGTGCGCTGAAACGCTGATTGCCACGTCGATTTCGCCTCTTCCCAGCACCTTGACGGGGCTGTTCAGGTTCTTGACGAATCCGACCTGGACCATCGACTCGGGAGTCACATCGCTTCCGTCAGGGAACAGCGCGAGCTGGTCAAGGTTGACGATGCTGTACTCCTGCCTGAACACGTTGGTGAATCCGCGAATGCTCGGGAGCCGCTTGAGCAGCGATAGCTGACCGCCTTGGAACTTGACCATCGACCCGCTGCCGCTTCGGGATTTCTGTCCCTTGAGGCCGCGGCCCGAGTAGGTACCCATTCCGCTGCCGTCTCCACGGCCCACGCGCTTTCTGTTCTTCTTTGCCCCCTGTGGGGGACGCATCATGTGTTGCTGCATATCGAAACTTTCGCTCCGCGGATCAATGCGTGTCGTCTTCTTCGACTGGGGCCACTGTCACGAGGTGTCGTACCTTGTGCACAACGCCCATGATCGACGGCGAATCTTCATGAATCACCGTCTGGTGCAGACGCCTCAGCCCGAGGCCCTCAATCGCTCTCTTTTGGGAGCTTTCGTAGCCGATCGCGCTCTTCTTCCAGGTAATTGCTATCTTCGCCATTGGTACCGTTCTCTACTGGTTTGTGTCGTGCAGGTCCAGTGTTTAGGCTTGTTCAGAAGTGGCTGCTGTCGCCGCTGCCGCCGCAGCCGCCTCGGCCTGTCGGGCCTCGGCGCGAGCGGTGGCTACACGCTTCCGCTCCTTGACTTCCTCGACGAACTGTCTGCGCTTGGCGATCTCAACCTCGGGAAGTCTCATCTTCTTCAAGCCTTCGAAAGTCGCCTTGACGACGTTCACGGGGTTGTTGCTGCGTCGAGACGACTTTGTGAGAATGTCGCGCACGCCGGCGAGCTCGACGACCGCTCGGACCGCGCCACCGGCTATGACGCCGGTGCCGGGAGCTGCCGGTTTGAGCATGACCACCGACCCGCCGAACTTCGAAACGATGTCGTGCGGGATTGTCGAGCCTTTGAGGGGCACCTCAATCATATTGCTTCGAGCTTTGACCGCACCCTTCCTGACGGCGTCGGGCACGGCGTCCGCCTTGCCCATGCCTACGCCAACGCTGCCCTGTTCGTCTCCAACCACCACTACGGCGTTGAAGCTCAGGTGGCGTCCGCCCTTGACAACCTTGGCGACGCGAGATATGCGGACGACCCTCTCTACGAGATGTTGCTCGTCCGGGTCTTCGTACTGGTTGCGTTGCTGGTTACGCTGCTGAGGCCGTTGCTGGTTACGCTGCTGTGGGTACGCTGCTGAGGCGTGCTGGTTACGCTGCTGAGATCGGAAATTAGTGGTCATCTAGAAAACCAGACCCCCTTCGCGGGCGGCGTCTGCCAGTGCCTTTGTCCTGCCGTGATACTTGAACCCGCCCCGATCGAAGACGACGCCCTTCACGCCCTGCTCGGTCGCGCGCTCGGCTATCAGCGTCCCGACCATCGCCGAGACATCCGACTTTGGAGCGCCGTTGTTGAGGTTCTCGCGTATCACCGGCTCCAGACTGGATGCCGCCGCGACCGTATGTCCACGTGAATCGTCTATCACCTGGACGTATATGTGATTGAGACTGCGGAACACCGCCATTCTGGGACGGCCCGAAGTGCCCGTGATCTTCCGGCGTACACGCTTGTGGCGCATCATGCGGCGCGCCTTGCGCATCTTTGACTGTGGCACCTTATGCCCTCCTGGCGCTCTTGCCAGCCTTGAGATGTACGACTTCGTTCGAGTACCGGATACCCTTGCCGGTGTACACGTTGGGCGGCCGCACCTTCCTGATTTCGGCTGCCAGCTGGCCCACTGCCTGCTTGTCTATTCCGCGTACGCGGATTCGGTTGTTTCCTTCAACCTCAAGCGTGATGCCGTCCGGCGGATTTATCTCTACCTGGTGACTAAGCATTACGCTGAGGGTTATTCCACTGCCGCTCTGAGCGACGCGATAGCCGACTCCGACCAGGTCGAGCGTCTTTACGTAGCCCTCGCTCACCCCGACAACCATGTTGTTGATGAGACTCCGGGTGAGGCCGTGGAGCGCCTTGTGCTCGCCTGAGTCACTGGGCCGGTCGACGACCACGGAGCCGTTATCCCTGACTATGGACATTTCCGCGTGGAAGCTCTGGCTCAGTTCGCCGCGTGGCCCCTTCACCGTCACGGCCTGTCCACTTACCTGAACGTCCACGCCCTGGGGCACCGGAATCGCCTGTTTACCTATTCTGGACATTTTCTACCTTTTCTATCAAGGTATGAGAGGTATGAGAATGACCCACCAACACAGCTCTCAACTTGTCATTCCGGCCTTGAACCGGAAGCCAGGGGCTGGGGGCTCTCACTCCTCTGATCACCACACGTAGCAAAGAAGCTCGCCGCCGACGCCGTTGCGCCACGCCTGGCGCCCCGTCATTACGCCCTGTGAGGTGGACATCACAGCCACTCCGAGTCCTCCGTAGTATCTGGGGATCTCCCCCTTCCCTACATAGACTCTGAGCCCCGGCTTGCTCACCCGCTTCAAGCCCGCGATCGCAGGCTCACTGCGGCTCCTGTAGTGGAGCTTGACTCTGATGTTGGCCTGTGGTGTGCCCGACCTGACGAGGTCGTAGCTCTCGATGAAGCCCTCCTCGGCCAGGATTCTGGCCAATTCGACCTTCAGCTTCGAGGCCGGTATATTTACCGACTCATGACGCGCATTCACCGCGTTGCGTATGCGCGTGAGCATATCCGCTATCGGATCTGTCACTGCCATCTTCTGTTTCTCTACCAGCTGGCCTTGCGTAACGCCGGGAGAAACCCCGTGAGGGCCATATTCCTGAAACAGATGCGGCAGAGTCCGAAGTGCCTTATGTATGCCCTCGGCCTTCCGCAGTTGTTGCACCTGTTGTGCTCACGGACCTTGAACCGCTGTGGTTTCTTCCAGCGTGCGATTTTAGACTTCTTTGCCATCCTGTCAGACCTGTCGTTTCTGATTGGAGCCGGGGGGCTCTCTAGCTTCTAGCAACTCCCAGTTTAGGCTTCGCTATACGAGCATCGGGTCGCGCGTCCTCGCGAACGGCATACCGAGCAGCTCAAGCAGCCTCAACCCTTCCTGGTCGTTGGGCGCGGTGGTCACTATGACCACCTGCAGACCTCTGAGCCTGTCTATTGCGTTGTAGTCGATTTCGGGAAATATCACCTGGTCGCGGAGGCCCAGCAGAGTAATTCCCCCTGCCGTCGAACGAGTTCTGGACACGCCCTGAAGTTCCCGGATTCTGGGCAGCGCGGAGTTGACCAGCCGGTCGTAGAACTCCCACATTCGTGACCCTCTCAGGGTTACTGTCAGCCCGATGGGCATCCCGTCGCGGATCTTGAACTGGGCGATCGACCGCTTGGCCCTGGTCACCAGTGGCTTCTGGCCGCTGATGGCGGTCAGGTCCGCGGTGGCTGCCTCCATTGCGCGGGCGTTTTGAAGCGCCTCTCCCATGCCGATGTTCATCACGATCTTTTCCAGGCTCGGGACCTGCATGGGGCTGGTGTAGCCGAACTCCTGGATCATCTGTGGCCCTACCTCGTTGCGGAGCGTCGCCAGCAGCCTGGGGAGCGGGCGTTGAGAGCCGTTCTGTTCAGCCTTCTGATCTGCCATTTGATCTGATAATCGCTCCGTCATTCGATCACTTCACCACACTTCTTACAGATTCTCACCTTGGTGCCGTCCGGCAGAGAGCTCAGTCCGATCCGGCTTGGCGAGTCGCACTGCTCATGAAAGGACTTCAGATTGGCGACGGAGACGGACAGCTCTTTCTGGATGATCCCGCCCTGGCGGAACGCGCCGGAGGGCTTCTGGTGGCGTGATACCACGTTGACACCCTCGACGATGGCTCTGTCCTTGTCCTGCAGCACCCGCGCAATGCGGCCGCGCTTTCCCCTGTCCTTGCCCTTGACGACGAGGACGTTGTCGTTGGTCTGGAGTCTCACTAGAGCACCTCTGGAGCCAGGGACACTATCCGCATGAAGTTTCTGTCTCTTAGCTCACGGGCGACCGGGCCGAAGATACGTGTGCCTCGGGGCATCTGGTCGTCGTTGATTATCACCGCCGCGTTGTCGTCGAACTTTATCCGAGACCCGTCCACGCGCCGGGAGGGATGCTTGGTGCGGACCACAACCGCCCTGACTACCTCACCCTTGCGCACCGCGGCGGCCGGGGCCGACTCCTTGACGGATGCGACGATCACGTCGCCGACATGGGCGTACTGCCTGCCGCTGCCTCCTGGAATGCCGATGCAGCTAATGGTCTTCGCCCCTGAGTTGTCTGCCACCTTCAGTCTGGTGTAAATCTGGATCATGTCTGATGTCTCGCCTTGATCGCTAGTCCTGTGCTGTCAAAAAGTCGGCTTTACGCCTGGTCGTCTTCGGGCGCCGACGCCGTCGCGCTTTCCATCTGAGCGGCAGAGGTCGCTGCAGCCGACAGAATATCCTCGTCCACTTCGATCTCTTCCGGCTGTACCTCTGCGATCTCTATGCTCGAGAGGATCGCCGCAACCTTCCAGCGCTTTTCTTGGAGTAAGGGCGCGACTCGATGATCCGCACCGTGTCGCCGAGGCTGCACCGGTTCTCGGGGTCGTGCGCGTAGAACTTGGTCTGACGCTTGACCGCTTTCTTGTAGATGGGATGGGGGTGGCTCCACTCGTAAACCACGACGGCGGTCTTGTCCATCTTGTCGCTTACGACCTTGCCGACCCTGACTTTTCTTCTCTCGAAACTCATGCTTGCGTTCTCTCAGATTCCTGATGCTGGGTTTGAGCCTGCGCTCGCCCCGTGCGCAATCGTCGTCGCCTCAGACTATGTTGTGGTCAGTCCTAGCTCGCGCTCGCGCATCACCGTCAGGATCTGCGCGACCCGCTTTTTCGTTCTGCCTATCTCGTTAACGTTAGAGAGCTGCATGGTCGCGGCTCGAAAGCGGAGATTCATTAGCTCCCGCCGCGTCTCGTACAACTCCGTCGCCAGATCTTCTGCGGGCATTGCCCTTATGTCGTCTATCGGCATTTCTTAGTCCTGTATTTGTGGGCCTTTATCTGTGGGATTGATGACTCCGGTTGGGCCGTTCGTCGCTTACGCCGGCAGCCTTGTGACGATCTTGGTCGCCATTGGCAGTTTCGACGAAGCCAGTCGTAGAGCCTCTTTCGCAGTCTCTTCCGGCACGCCGGCAATCTCGAACAGCACCCGGCCGGGCCTGACCACCGCTACCCAGTGGTCCACGGCTCCCTTGCCGCTGCCCATGCGGGTCTCAGCAGCTCGGGCGGTTACGCTCTTGTCCGGGAAGACGCGAATCCACAGCTTCCCGCCTCGGCGAGCGTATCGGGTCATCGCGCGACGGGCTGCCTCGATCTGGCGGGAGGTTACCCACGCAGACTCGGTTGCCTTCAGGCCGAACTCACCGAAGTTGATCCGGCTTCCGGCTACCGACATGCCCTTGCGTCGGCCCCGGTGCATGTTGCGGAACTTAACCCTGTTCGGTTGGAGCATTGCTCTGGACCTCCGGTGTTGGTGCTGGTGCTGCCCCGGGTGGCTGTGTCTGCGCCGGTGGTTGTGTCTGTGGTGCTGGCGCCACGGGCTGCTGTGTCGGAGCGACTGGCGGCTGTGCTGCAGGCGCAGCTTGAACAGCTTGCGGCTGCATTGCGGGCGCGGGAATCGGGTCGGGGGTTGCGGACAACGTGACCTCGATCGGAGAGATCTCCTCCTCGATCTCCGGCTCAGGAACAACCTCAGGGAGTATGTCCCCCTTGTAGATCCACACTTTGACTCCGATGCGTCCGAAGTCCGTCGCCGCCTCGGCAAGTCCGTAATCTATGTCTGCCCTCAGCGTATGGAGCGGAACACGCCCCTCCATCGCCTTCTCCGATCTGGCTATGTCGGCGCCGCCGAGCCTGCCGGAGCAGAGGATCTTTATACCCTCGGCCCCCGCCTGCATCGTGCGTCCGAGCGTCTGCCTGATGGCCCGTCGGAACGCGATCCTGCGTTCCAGCTGGTCTGCGACGTTTCGCGCAACCAGGAAGGCGTCCAACTCCGGCTGACGTATCTCCTGCAGTTATGCACTGCCGCGTCTTGATGATGCGCTCAAGGTCCTTGCGGAGCTCTTCTACGCGCTGCCCACCGCGACCGATCACTATTCCCGGCCTCGCGGTGTGGATTGTCACAGTGACGTCGTTGTTGCTTTCGTTCAATCTCAACCCGAGATATCCCCGCGTCCGGGTAGCTCTCCGTTATCCGGCCGCGGACCTGGAGGTCTTCGAACACCAGGCCGCGGTAAGCCTCCTGTTTCGCGCGCGACCACGTGTCTTGCCGTCACTGGACGATTCCCAGTCGGAATCCAATCGGGTGAGTTTTCTGACCCAAGCTAGAGCTCCGTTTTCGTCCACTACCACCGTTATGTGGCTGCTGCGCTTGATGATTTGTGTCGCGCGGCCCCGAGCCCTGGCTCGAAACCTCTTGAGCCTAGGGCCCTCGTTCGCGTATATCTTGGTGATTGTCAGGTCGGCTGGCCGAGCGAATATCTCTTCTTCGGCGTTCGATGCGGCGGACTTCACCACCCGCGCCACCGACGTCGCGGCCGGCGAGGGCAGAAACTCGAGTATGTCCATGGCCTCCTGAACGTTCATTTCCTTCCTCGACGAGATCCAGTGAGATAGGACCAGCAGCTTCTTTTCTTCCTGACGTGACGCCGGTATCTCTGGCGGTTGCGCTTACAGGCATTACCGGACCCCTATCTCACTGCCGAGGCGCGCTGCGGACGTCAGTGAGTGCCCTGACGCGTCCGCGTGGGGAGTCGAACTCGCCCAGCTGTGGCCGACCATGTTCTCGGTGATGAACACCGGCACGGAAAATGTCATCCTGCGTCGTAGTACCGCGATATTCAGGACCAGCATGACGGAATGATCGTGGAACAACCTCGACAAGGTGAGTAATACCTGTATTGAAGGTTGTTATACGACGAATAGTGTAATCTTGGCAGATT